AACCAAAGCCTTTCATAGTTTCTGCTTCATGTTCCTACACAGACTGACACTTTAAAAAAGGAGTACAGAATGTCTTGAACAGTACTCTATAATAGTTTCTCACTCTGGAGAATATGGCTTCAAGCCCCAGACATACAGCATCTTGGGAAAGGAAAGTGAAAAAAATATAGAAGGAAAATATTTCTCCTAATAACTTTCTTAGGAAAGTGGGGCCTGGTACAGGTAACAAAACACTGGAGTTAACTTGTATTCAGCTGAGTACCCTGATGGGCTCTTAAAAGGTCAAGGCAGGACTTGAGCTGAGTCTGGCACTAAAGGAAGTAAAGGAGACAGCTAAATCACTCTATTACCATAAAAGAATCTGGGGAGAAGAAAAAAAAGAATTTTGAGTTTACCAGCTATTTTCTAAGGCTGGAGGGAGAGAAACGGGAAGACAATCTAACAAGATGGCCAGAGGCTGAGACGGCCATTGTCAGGAGGTACAGCCAGTATGAAATTCCTGACAACTGGTGGGTACAACGAAATGATTTATATACTTAGCTGACCCTTGAACATGGTCCCATCTATGTGCGGATTTTTTTCAATAGAAAGTATAGTATTACAGGTCCATCATTGGATCCATCTGTGGATGTGGAACTGCGTACACTGAGGGCAGACTACAAGTTATTCTCAGATTTGACTGTGCAGAGGGCCACCATCTCTAACTCTGCCTTGTTCAAGGGTTGACTGAAACATGCTAGATGTTTAGTATGTAGTACAATAGGGTAATTTTCTCTTGCACTCAAGGTGGCTTGGGGTTTTTCCCACATTTTAATCCACATCCATGACAGAGATCAAAGCACAGAATTTAGACCAAGTACTTTGTAAAGCTGAATACAAAAAAGTCAGCTAGATCTAGGTAACCATGAAATAAAAAATTACCCCATCACTTCCTACCACCTTTCCTCTACCTACAATTTGTATAAACCAGAAGAGAAACAGTGTCTACTGCATTACAGGTATTTAATAGATATGCATCAAATGAGTGAATTAGTTCACTGGCTTTCCATAGAGTGTGAAATTATGTTTTAGGGGCTGAGCAAATATTACCTACATTTTAAGGAGCAGGTAACACTAGCTGACACATGAAAAATTTCACCTTTTCTGAGGAAAAACAGCTCCTTTTACAAAAGATGTTCCATTTTTTTTCCAGCAAACCGTGAAAATGATTAAAATATACACATTTACAAATCACCTACTTTCTAGAAAAAAGAAAACGACACAAAACTAATGTGAATTCTGTATCTTCACTTAATGATCAAATCTTAATTTATGAGAAAGACGTAATCCCAAACTCAAGTAAATTATTCAAGTATTTGGGCTTAAGGAATTACAGATATTCTAGTCTGATTTATTTTTCAAGTACAAATATATATAGTCTCTTCAGCAGATGTTGCTGGAACAGCGAGATATCCACAGGTCAAAAAATAAGGTTTGACTCTTAAATTTCTATCTATTGCCACACACACAACACTTTGCTTTGCTTGTGTTTTTTTTTTTTTTTTGGCCACACAGCCCAGCATGTGTGATCTAGTTCTCCTACCAGGGACTGAACCTGCACCCCCTGCAGTGGAAGCAAGGAGTCTTAACCACTGGACTGCCAGGGAAGTCCTTTTTGGTCCCATTTTGTGTAAATATACCAAAAAATTGTGTGTGTGTGTATATATACACATAAGAAACTCAAAAATGAGAGAATTCTTTGGTGGTCCAGTGGTTAAGACTTGGCCCTTTCACTGCCAGGGCCCAGGTCCAAAACCTGGTAGGGGAACTCAAGATCTGACAATCCACATGGTGTGGTGAAGAATGAATCAAAGACCTAAATATAAGAGCTAAAATCATAAAACTCTTAGAAGAAAACATACGGGTAATCTTCATGACTGTGGACTTGGCAATGGTTTCATAGAATCAACATGAAAAGCATGCACACCAAAAGAAAAGTTAGGTAAGGTGGACTTCAAAATTTAAAGCTATATGTTTCAAAAAACACTACAAAGAGAGTGAAAAGACAACTCAGAGAATAAGAGAAAAATTTGCAAATCGTGTCTGGTATCTCAGATATAAAAAGAACTCTTAACAAAAAAAAAAGACAAACTCCAAGTAAAAAACAGGCAAAGGACTTGAATATGCATTTCCCCAAAGAAGACATACAAATGGTCAGGCAGCACAAAGATGCTCAACATCATTGGCCACTAGGGAAGTACAATCAAAACCAAAATGATCTACCACTCACATCTACTAAAATTAAAAGAGAGATGATAAGTGCTGATGAGCAAAAAGTCTACAAACAATAAATGCTAGACAGGGTGTGGAGAAAAGGGAACCCTCTTGCATTGCTGGTGGGAATGTAAATTGATACAGCCACTATGAAAGATGGTATGGAGATTCCTTAAAAAGCTAGGAATAAAACCACCAGCAATCCCACTCCTAGGCATATACCCTGAGGAAACCAAAATTGAAAAACCACATGTACCCCAATGTTCACTGCAGCACTATTTACAATAGCTAGAACATGTAAGCAACTTAGATGTCCATCAACAGAAGAATGGATAAAGAAGCTGTGGTATGTATATACAATGGAATATTACTCAGCCATAAAAAGGAACACATTTGAGTCAGTTCTAATGAGGTGGACAAACATAGAGCCTATTATACAGAGTGAAGTAAGTCAGGAAGAGAATTATAAATATCTTATACTAACACATATATATGGAATCTAGAAAGATGGTACCGATGAATTTATTTTCAGGGCAGTAATGGAGAAAGAGACATAGAGAATAGACTTGTAGACACGGGGAGAGGGGAGAAGAGGGTGAGATGCATGAAGAGTAACATGGAAACTTACACCACCACGTGTAAAATAGACAGACAAAGGGAACTTGCTATATGACTAAGGGACTCAAACAGGAGCTCTGACAATCTAGAAGGGTGGGATGGGGAGGGAGATGGGAGAGAGGTTGGGGAGGGAGGGGACATGGGAGTACCTATGGCTGATTCTTGTTGATATATGACAGAAAACCACAAAATTCTGTAAAGCAAATATCCTTCAATTAAAAAAATAAATAAATGCTGATGAGGAGAAATTTGAACTTGCATTTCATTGCTGGTGGGAATATAAAATAGTACAGAGCTGTGGAAAATAGTTTGTGGGTCTTCAATAAATTAAGCATAAAATCATCATAAGACCCATAATTCTACTCCTAGATATATGCTCAAGTACATATGCTTAAGTTTATATGCTTAAAACATAAGTCCACACAAAAATGTTCATAATAGCCAAAAGATGTTAACAGCTCAAATCCCCACCAAATGATGAATGAACAAACAAAATATAGTTTATACATACAATGGAATATTGTTGTTGCTGTTTAGTTGCTAAGTCCTGTCCAACTCTTGTGATCTCATGGACTGTAACCCACCTGATTCCTCTGTCCATGGGATTTCCCAGGCAAGAATACTAGAGTGGGGTTGTCATTTCTTCCTCTAGGGGATCTTCTCCACCCAGGGATCAAATCTAAATTTCCTGCATTGGCAGGTGGATTCTTTACTACTGAGTCACCAGAGAAGCCCCAAATGGAATATTACTCAGCCATAAAAAGGAAAGAAGTACTGATACACACTATGGAAAAACTTTGAAAACACCAAGTTAAATGAAAGCGTGAGTAAACAAAAGGCCACATACTGTATGATTCCACTTATATGAAATGTCCATAGAAAGAGGAATAGGAAGTGACTACTTAATGAGTAAGAGGTTTTCATCTGAGCTGATGAAAATGTTCCAGAACTAGACTGTGGTAATACATGAACGTATTAAACTGTATTGTGAATGTGTTTGATGCCATTAAAAAGTACACTTTTTAATGGTAAATTTTATGTTATGTGTCTTTTGCCTCAAAGGTAAAATTAAATTAAAAAGACAAAGTACCAAGTGGGGTCGTTGCATATGATAGGTACTCAATAGTCATTGACTTTAATGACTGGACAGCATGATCTTGGCCAACTCCAGCTTCCAGTGAAGCCAGACATGGTTCTAAACAAACATGGCCCTATAGATTTCTAAGCTCTTCTGCCTGAGGATTATACACCAAGGCTTAGCAACTATATTCTTTCCCCTTTTATGCTAACCCCACACCTGTGCTAGAAGCCTACATTATTTCTTGCCATCCACCAGAAAGGCAAACAGCTTTGTTCTATCAGTCAATCAAAGCTGAGAAACAACAGTAACAAGAGTTAGGTGCTACTTAAGAATTAGGTTGGGAGGTGGTGCTCAGGAGATATTTCATTTGACTATGATAAGACATTTACAAATATAAAATGACAGAGCATTACAGTAAATCTGAAGTCATATACTTACTCTAGACCAGTTTCTCAACTTTGGCACTACTGACATTTAGGAAGGATTGTCCTGTGCGTTGTAGGATGTTCAGCAACATTCCTGGCCTTGGCCCACTAGACATCAGTAGCATTCCCCAGTTGTGACAATTGAAAATGTCTCCAGATACTTGGCCACTTGGGAAAATAGCCCTTAGTTGAGAAACACTGCTCTAGATAAATATACTAACCACCTTATCTAACATTAATACATGTAAACTGATGTACCCTAGGGATTGGGTTGAGTTGAGAAATTAAAGAAAAGAGGACAAAACAACTTAGACCACCTTGGATTGCTATGGATCAGCCTCTTGAAAGCTAACATGTCTGGGGAAGGACTGTGGGAAAATTCAAGCAGAGAGAGCTGAAATTCCCAAAGGTACATTTCCAGGACCAGAGTAATGGCCAACCAAACTAAGGGGAGCAGGGGTAAAGCAGCAAGCACCTAGTGATAAATGTAAATCCATTGTTTTGTTTATTTAAGTCCCTTGTGGATCAATAACATTTAAAGCTCTCTGCCTGCCAGATGTCAGCTCTCTGGATAAAAGCAGCTATTCAGATACTAGCAGGAAATAAAGAAAGGAAATGCCTACCTGAGAGTCCCATTCTCTCCTTTGTCCAGGCTGGTGAACCGGCTGTAGAGGCGGGTGATCTGACTGTGGGAAACTGAAGAACACAGAATTAGTCGCAGTTGGAGAAGGTGTCCTCTGCTCCAGTTGAACCTGAATGTGAGTGACCCTTTGGAAACCAGCAGCCCTTCTGGTCCCAGCTCACCATTAAATGCTTCAAAGTCAGTAAAGTGGTGTGATGTCTCAACTAACTCACCTCTAGTGTGTCAAAGCAGAAAGAATGAAAGGAGTTAGAAAATAAATCAAGAGTAAACAAAATTGACTCTCAGGGGTGAAGTCTAGGCTTAATTAAGACTCTGTGTTAAATGTCAGTTGGTTAAGATTTAACAAAACAAAGCTAAATTTAGTTTAAGAGGAAAGTGTGAAACTTTCACCTTTCAGTACCCTGACTTAGAAGCTATGAAAATTTGAGCTTTGATCAAAAACACATCCCTAATAATCAGTTTGATGTTTCAGACTGGCACAGCTGGGTAGGTAACATGTGCTGAATTAAGGACTGGGGTATGTGAAACAGACAGTATTTTTAAAATCTAGTTTATTTTCCCCAAGCATTAGTAACTTTTACCTTTTCCCTCAGGGCTGATCTTTGGGTAAAAGATCACTACAGCCTTGGGTCAGCCTCTTTCTCTGCAACTGCATGAGCTCCACTGAGTTCCCAGTAAAGGAATGGGCTCCAAGAAAGAAAATTAGGCAATCTGTAAAATGGTTGTGCCATCTTCAGACGACATCTATAAGGAAGTTACTTTGTTCCTCATTTTGCACTAACTCAGGTACAAGCTGACAATTAAAATGAGGCACTAACCACAGGTAGACAATGAGACTTTGAAAATGCAAAAAGGAATTTCTGGGAAATAGTTTAATCTCGGTGGTAGACTGGAGATAGGAGGGAAAAAAATAGTTATCAAAGGAGAAAAGACTACAGCCAAAAAGGGTGTGACAAGTGTGGACTCTGTCCTAGGCTGTACCTTCAGGGGCAAAGGGGTGGCTCAGGGAGTTCTGATAGTCGTCCTCCTCCCCCAGCTCATGCAACAAAAATCCACTTGCAGTTCTGGGAACAATGGGACAAAATTAACACGGGCACGCGCAGGAGAAACAGGAAGTGAGTGGCCCAAAGCTAGTATGAGAGGCCAAGCAGTAAGTTCTTCAGCCTCAGGTTTCAAGCCAGGCTGGGCTCTGTTCTGCACTAGCTCTCAAGGAGAGCAGAGAGCAGAGGGAGAGGCAGAACCACCCCCGCCAGGGCAGAGCCAGCAGGAGCCCAGACACCGAGGAAGCAGGTGGGGAGCTTCTGCCTCATAGGCAGGTGTGCACAGCTCAGCAAACACTCCTCTGAGCGTCAGGCTGACGGATTCTGATTCCAATCGTGGCACCACAGCTCACCAACGAGGGCTGAGTGAATGGGGTTGTGCAGTGAACTAACTAAGTCCAGGAGAGAAAAGTGCTTGGCCAAGGTCTGGCACCTGGTAAGCATGCCTGGTTAGCTATTATCATCATTATCCTTACACTGTGAGCCTGCAGGTACAATTTTACTGCTGTACTAATTAATCTCCACCTTTCTCTTGATTCTGCCAGCCACAACCGTCTTCTTCAGGAACCTGAACAGGCTTTTGCCTCAGGCCTCAAATGTTGCTCTGAACTAAAGTTTTTTTTAGTTTTCACAAAATCAGTTGGTTCCAGAATGACTTTCTCAAAAGACTTTTTGAAAAGACAAAATTTGTTTACAATATCAATGCCACTGTTTTCATGTCTTCATATATTACCTAATACGTCACTTGTACACTTAACATAGTTACAAGTTTATTTTTCATTTATTAATTCATAATTTTTCTATATTGCTTTGGAGTGCTTTTTAATAACTACATAATATTTAGCCCATGGGGTCAGTTTTTAGTACTTAAGAGTATTATACTTCAGGTTACTTTTCTTTAACAATGAACACATTCAAATTGTATTTCTTTCTATACTAGGTTTTTTTTTTTTTTAATTTGAGAAAACAATCTATTCACATGGTAAAAATAGTACAAAAAGTGTACATAATGAAAAGTCTCCCTAACACCCGCATTCCTCTGTCTTCCTAGCCAGAGTCAAACTTTCTTAGGTGTGATAATAGTACTGTGGTTATGTAAGAAACAAATTCCTGTCCTCAGGAAGACATGCTTAAGGCTTAAGGGGTGAAAAGTTTGGCTATCTGCAACCTTAAAATGGTTCATCAAAAAGAATACATACACATACACACACACACACACACACAAATAGACAAATATAGCAAAATGTTAACAACTGTTGAATTAAAATGTTGAATTATATGAATGTTCATTATACTATTTTAACCTTTTGTATGTTTGAAATTTTTCATCATAAAAAGGTGGGGGTAGGGTGGGGGAGGTACAGAGCTTTGCAAATCACTTAATCCAAAACCAGCTGAAGATGTCAGTAATATGTGCAATGCTCTTTCAATAGGAGCCGGGAGACAGCAGGCAGCAGGGTCTTCTGCAGTGAGAGAACCCTCAGGTACTATGGCAAGGCAGCTGAGGGCCATGAATGTGTCCCGAATCATGAGGCAGGAACAGCCTTCAGTTGAACTTCCACTTACATTCTAACTCAGGAAATTATTCTCAAGCAGTTGCCTTTGCCAGGCTTGTGCTCTTTGTTACAATTATAGAGAAATCCACACTAGTGCCATCATAACTACACCCTTTCAAACAAACAGAACTTCTCACTGGCCTGTAGAACTTACTTCCCAAACCTGTTCAGCACCTTTGCCATATCACGTGACACATACCAGAAGACAGAGACTAAAAATAAATCAATCGGAATTTATCACTACTCAGTTGGCGTGAATTGTTCCTCACAGATTATGTGGCTATTTTTGTTGAAAAGGTTTTAAGTAATTCACAGCCAGGTTATTGCCATATAGTTAAGAGAACTCAGGGTGGAGAATTCAGAAACTCCCAAGACACTGTGACCTTTCCCCTAGTGGCAGCTTTTACTCAAATGACTTTAACTTATGGAAATACTGAAGTGTGAAAGAAGGTAACAGAACTAAGACAATATAGCAAATGTTTTATGCCAACTCGTGTTTTTAGACAGTATTTTTTTTTTAAACTGTTAGATATATCAGGATTTCTACTCCTTCCAAAGTTTTATTTCTTAAAATTGGGAAAACCTGATTCCTAGTCCAATGTCCCCTGAAAAGAGGAAAAATGCAAAATACTGTCACCTCTCCAATTACATACTAGACATGGTTTTTATAACTAGCACATCCTAATGGTGTTTTCACGATAAGATGGTTGTTACCTATATAGTTCAAAATGAAAATAGCTAACACCTGGTGCTTATTACATATCCAGACACTATTCTAAGTAGTTTACATAATTTTTCTCATTTAGTCTTCACTAGGAATTCTATAAAGTAGGTACTATTTTTATTCTCATTTACAGATGATAAAACTAAAGGTGTACAAGGAATTCTTACTTAGAAGTACTTTTCTAAACACTTAAGAGATTACATTTCAAATACCGGATAAACTAGTCATATATGAATCCTAACCAATTTAGACTTACCCATGCAAAGCTTTCATACTGCATATAAAGTTAATTTTACTTATTTATGGTACATTTTCTTCTGGCAAAGGGAGTAGTGAAATGTCTTGTACTTGTTCTTAACGTGAAGTGTTTCGGACTGACGGTTCCCCAAACTCTTAATAGAACAAGAAGCAGAGAAAAATAGGGCTAATTTCATCTCTCTACGTCACCCTCAGGTGTTTGCTGTTTTTATTCTTCTAAACCTTTTGCATCATGCTAAGATTACTGCTTTAAAAATCAATTCTGCTGATGGGCACTTAACTGGATAAACTGACAGCTCAACTCCCAAAGCAGATGACAGCCGTAGCAAGTCAGGGGAGATGCCTGGAAGCCACTCAAAATGCTCTAGCTTAATTTATCCAAATCTAATCAATTGATGCATATATCATGGCCCAATTCCTATTCTCCTGAAGGCCAGTTCACAAGGACTGTTCCCTGAGTTCTGAAAGGGGTGCTACACAATTTAAGTTATCTTATGTTTGATGCTCATCCAAACTCTTGTGGGCTTATCTCCATGACCTGGTTGTGGGCATCTTTTGTCACTACCTGTTTTGAATACCCAGTATCGTACTGAGTATGCTGCTGCTGCTGCTAAGTCACTTCAGTCGTGTCCGACTCTGTGCGACCCCATAGATGGCAGCCCACCAGGCTCCTCTGTCCCTGGGATTCTCCAGGCAAGAATACCGGAGTGGGTTGCCATTTCCTTCTCCCAGTACTGAGCATAGACACTGCAAAAATTCAATAAGTACTTGTTTCATTAGGCTTTCTGGCTCAAATATCGTTTGTCCCGGTGTGGCTGAGACTCTCCCTCAGGCTTGATTCTCTTTTCGGCAACTAGGAAAATAGCTCTGCAGGAGTACTCCATTCTCACAGACACAGAGAAAAAACCTAGAGTCCTAAGGCAATCGAGGCCACTTTCATTTGGTCAACTGTAACAAAACCAGAATGGGATTACTGCTCCCTTCCTCTTGAGGGAAAAAGAGCTTTTTTCCCACCAGCACTCTGGTTTATACTCCCTCATTACGTGACTCTTTATTTTAAGAATGAATGCTTTAACTCTGGTGTCACCTTAGACCTAAAGTAGTTCTTATGTTTACAAGTGTGGCCAGAGGTCATAGCCACAAAATGTAATAAAATGTTTGCTGAATCCAAACCATCTATGTTTCTACCCTTAGAATCAGAGTAATAAAATGACCACAAGGTCAAGCGGCTAAACAAGTACTGCACATTATAGACATCTACCTACTTTCTTGTCTTCATTCAAAATCATAAAAAGGACTCACTGGTAGGTGGTGAGCGCCTTAAAATCTTTATAGAGAGGCTTAATGACTGTAAGCTAGGAGATGCTGAAAGCAATAAACCAATCTGATAAAGGATGAGGCTAGATAACATCCCTTCCAACTTGAAGATTCCAGAAAGTTGGGCTATCAGAAAGCATGGGACGTATTTAATTGATCTCAGGCCACCCTTGCCTGAGTGATTCTGAGGTTCCCCCAGCACTCAATATTACCTGCAAATGAATCACTGAGTTACTTTGTGGCCATCTCATTATCAAAAACAGAAATTATGAAGACTCAGAGCCCAGATGCTTACATAACTCATGTAAAATACAAGAGTCATAATGGATTACTGGGAAAATATTGTATCCATTATCAAGAGCTACGCAAATGTACCATGGTGTTTTACAGAGCTTCTGAACCCACAAAACCCTGAATCTGCCCCTTTCAGATTCAGCGGAAGAGATTACACTATAAAAATCAGTTCCTCTACAAATTCACTGAGATTTTTGGAGCACATCCAATTTCCATGGGGACTGCATGAAATACACCAGCATAGTAGAAATCAATATATCTGAAATTAGGACAGCCAGTATCCTCAGTGTAAATAAAAAACTGGTAGTCACAACATCTGCGCTTTTTCTCCACAAGCTCAGAATGAAAGAAGTCTCATACTCTCAGACCCCTGATTCTTTAAGGTGTTCCATCACCAGGTCATGTCTTCCAAAGCCTTACTACAAGATCTCACTTTCTGGATTTATTTTTCCAGTTGTGGCAAGAATTTGATTTCCCACAGTTGTCAGTGGTTTTAAGTCCTTGCCTAGAAACGTCACAGGAACGAAGACAATGTTTTTACAGGACCTATCCAGAGTTCCTGAATTTAAGTCTGGTACGAGGAAAGACAAAGGAAAAGAGTTCGGGGACTTTCAAGAGCAGGGGAAGGAGAAAAGAGCGGGATCAGTGATTTACGGGTGATCGCGATTCCGGTCTTTGATGAGAAGGGGAGCCGCACAAGAGACAGGGTGCCACCGCGGGTAGCCTTAGCTGTAAGAACAGGTCCTCCATCATCCCCGAAGCTCCAGCACTGGAGGATGCCCAGGAACCCCAACCTCTCGGCACCCCAGCTCCAGATCTCAGCGACAGTCGCCCTCGGTCCTGAGGCCAGCTGGAGGAGCCCGGCCGCGTTCCCACCCCCTACCCGAACTCACAACCAGTTTCCTTCTTGATCTCCTCGAGCTCTTCGTCCCGCAGTAACGTGGAGGCCCGAGACCCCATCACCAAGCCGGGAGCTCCGCTGGGAGCAGGGGCGCCTGAAGCGACAGCGGCGGTAAGAGGGAGAGACGAAGGGGTGGAAGGGCCGGGGTCAAAGAAGGGAGAAGGCAGTGTTTCTACTGCGGACTGGGAAGGGAACCCAGGGGTGGTGCGCGGCGATGGGCAGGCCGGAGGCCCAGCCAATTGGGAGTGAGGCTGCGCTCAGCGCTGGAGCCGACGTCGACGTTCCTAGCTCCAGCCCCGAATGAATTAGCCCAGCGCCGGGCCGCGTCTAACTAAAAACGGATCACGCCCCCGGAACCATGATGCCACCGGTCTTAAAGGGGCAATGCCACGCTGGCCCTAGCGCCCGCAACTAAAAGGGCAACGCCATTGATCCACTGCTTTACAACACACTGACCTGTCGCAGTCAGTGTAGCCAACCTGTTTTTCACAGAACTCTAACACTAGAAATCCCACCCTACAGTTAGTATGGATTGAAGAGAGAAACAAAAACAGAGAGGCAAAACGTGGCTTGGTTGAATGCTAGGGTGTGTCTCCCGGGAACTGCATGCTGGGAGTTGCATTGAACCTCTTCATTTTTTCCTGGAGGCTCTCTCTCCTCCAAGCCACAGGGGGCGCTCGCGAGCCAGTTCGGGACCGCGCGCCGATTGGCTCCTCGGGAAACAGCGCAGTCGTCGGCTCCAAAGTGTCAGCGCCCGAGCTGCGTACTTTTCTCTACGTGGTTTCGGGATTGCTTTCTGATGACGGCTACCCAGGGTTTGGAACTTCTCTTGATTTCTTTCTTAAAAGCAGTCCTTTTTTCAGTTCAAGATTGAAGCTCAAGGAATTCACTATTTGGCTGAAATAGGCACAAATTTCCGTTGGAGGAAAAAAAAAACAACGGCGGAGAACAGACTTTCTAACGTATGGCCCGCCGTTTAAGTTTCTTATTTTGCCTTAAAAATGAGGAAGTTGGCATTTTGTTCTTATGGCATATTTTTGTTTGTTTTCTTGAAAACGTTTAAAGCCACCTATCAAATTAGTACACCTCAGGAGAACCAGTTCAGTAGCTGTGGCCTCAATGCCTTTACACCCCGTCGCCGCCCCTGTTACTTTGTACAAAACTGGTTTCACTTACAGAAGAACCAAATTCTGACAGATCTCACTTAGTACCTAAGCCCTAGAAGACTGTCTTAGCGGGCTGGTAGTCAACTTAGGTTACAGAGGTTCTAGTTTTACTGAGCTGTTTTCATGATTGACTTGCTCTCCTCTGACTTAATGATGTCTACCTTCGTAAGTAGAGGGTGACGTGTTGGATATGCCCGTCTCGGCCACAGGAGCTTCTTTTTATCTTGAGAGTATAAGTACGATAGAAAAATCTGTGTCGTCAGCAACTTGAGTGTCCGTTTTGAGTGTGCTGTGAAGCCCATCTCTGGATCCTGACCTTGCTCCTTACTAATCTTGAATCTTACCTTTTGCAGTTGTCCTCAGTAGAGCTTTCTTTGCTTTATTTTAATGTTTTTTTGATTTACTTTAACATTTCTTAAATTTCCTTTTTTCTCAAGCATTTCACAAGCTTATTTCTTATGTATCTTTTAAAAATGTAAGTTAATTTTCACCTCTAGTTAAGGGCTGGTTTTTGCATTTTTATATTCTCTTTTATTTCTGTAAAAATTCCCCTTTTGTTTGTTGGGTTGACTGGAACAAGGAAGAATGATTTTTCCAGGCACGCTGATGACTTGTTCTGTGTTCCCTCTGGAAGCTAACGCTCCGTGCTGCACGCATCTCCACTAGGGGCCTGGTTTTAGTTCAGGTTTCACTACCTTCTAGCTGTGTGACCTTGGGCAGGTGCCTTAAATCTTAATTTAAGCCTCAGTTTCTACATATGTAAATCAGGCAGTTGTTGTGGGCAATAAATAACAATTGCGAAAACACTTGCTAGACCTTAAAACATTAAAGTGTATGTTATTTATCTGGTTAAAAACACTATGTAACCTCACCTTCTTCCTAGATGAATTGGGCCTTAGTTATTTGGTCAATGTTTTGTAGTTAAACTAAGTTGCAAAATTCACTAGTTGACTATTCCAAGTGTGGTGAAGGCAAGGTGCTTTTAAATTTAAACCACTGTGGAGAAACACTTAGCTGAGGTTCAAAATACAAAGACATCCAAATAACAAGATTGTTCTAAAAGATCTTTTTTAAAAAAAGAATTCATCTTTTAAATTACAGTATTACACTAAGGAATATAAGAGTATCTACTGTGAATGATAGTTATTTCTGCAAGATAAAGTTTTTTCTTTGTGCATTTCTGCATTATCCTTTTTATAATGAGGATACATCATTTTTACAAAAACAGTTGAATTTTACAAAACCATTGTGTGGCATGTGGCGGTTTAATTTGTCAGGCTGCACATGACTGGTTGGTGACAGTCCCTGAGCTGTGGCTAGGGTGGGGTGGAATGACCCTCAGAGTGACATGGCAACTGGGTTGGTAATGCAGAAATTGTGATGATTCTAACTCACTTATTCTTTGGTTGTTAACAGTATGAAACTCTGGAAATGTTATTAATCTAGAAGAGGTTATATCCAGAAGAGATTAGATCCTGGACATTTCTGGGTAAACAATTCATTGCAACATATGTTGTCAAGTGTTTGCCAATATCAGTTTTTTTTATCTTTTAGTTTTTTTGGCTGATGTTAAAATGGTGTATGTATATGCTATTGAAAGGCCTCTAAACATTCTTCTTGCTCCATTTAGCTAAGGAAGGATAGGTGATATTAGGCCATTTCATAGACAAAGAAATTAAACCCTCTTTGCCTGAAGTCTTACAGTTTTCAGTTTCCCATGTATAAGTTAGAGTTGATACTTGCAGTGATCTTTTTCTCATTATAATTCTAAACAATAAATAGAATTACTTGAATATTTTTATTTTTCTTATCCCAAGGATGAGGAAAGGAAAAATAACCTCATTTCTCCCAAAATATTTAAAAAATCATAGATCTCTCTTATTTTCAAGGATTTAGATATTAAAGAAGATTATTTGAAGACTCCTTTTGGAATCAAATAGCATGGACCTCAGCAGTGACTACCATTTCCTCAACCAGATTTTGTGGAGAAGAGTGAGACTCACATTAGTTTGTGGCATTTTTGAAGGAGTGCTGCAACATGTGGACCCTGACAAGATTGTTGTTTTGAAGAAAGGTCTCATTTTATTTCTCATAATCTCCTGCCTTTTAGGAGACTAATAAGTGCATTTGAGTGATGATTCTGGGCTCTCTTAGCAACTGGAAGAGTGGCATTATTCCTATTTTAGGGGAAAGGTGGGAGGAAGATTAGAATGTTATATTCCCTAATGGAGCAATATGACTGTGTATGCTGGCTTGTCCACCTCAGTACTTTTATTGACATGATAGTGGAAAATTTCAGTATATGGGTTTTTTTTTTTAATTGGGTACATCTTTTCAATGCACCTTGAAATTAAAAATGAACACTGTATTAGATAGAATTGCTTTTGGCTTCAACAGACGAATTCCAAAGACAGTAAGGGGCTAATTTTTGTCATGCACAAAGAAGCCCAGAGGTAGACTGCTGAGGAATAGTGCAGTGGCTGAAAGATTCCAGGAGAGATAAGGCATCTTGTGCTCCTACCCTGCCACTTCAGTGTTCACCTGTTATCCTCACGGTCACAGTGTAGACTTTACACCTCCCAGTTTCAATTCCATTTCCTTTATGAAGGATATAATTCAGGAACAGCCAGATGGAGGAGTTTTATAGGGCAAGGTTTGTGGGAACGGGCTCAGAGTTTCTACTGTCTAAGCATGCCACCCTTTTAGCCTCTTCCATGTGTTCACCTTGAAGCCTTGATATAGAGTTTTTATTCATCTAGAACATTGACTTGTTAGGGTAGTTGTTTTCCTGGCACAGTAAGTTTCAAGTTCACAATTGAAATTTGTAAATGACATTTGAGAGATTAGTATTGTTAAGCCATTATTAGTTAAACTTTTGTAGGCTAGGATGGGACTATATCAGGCTTTTGCAATATTCATTTGGTAATCATTTATTGAGTTTTATATCCCAGGTACAGTGCTGGGTACCAGGGATATGGATAAGAATAATATGGTCTCTGTCCTTGAAAAAATTAGACTAGTAAAGAGACAGATAAATAAGTAGAAAGATATAATGCAGTGTGATATCCTCTGATAGAAGGACACACAGGACGCTATGGAAACACAAATTTTCTAATTTAGATCTGAGACAGTGAGGAAGGCTTCCCAAAGGAGGAATTGATATCAGAACTGTATTTGGAATTAGATGTACCTTCACAAGAGTTAACTGGTTGGGAACAGCGGGAAAGGTTGTTTTAAGCCAGTGGTTCTCAGACTTCATCTATATTTCAGAATTGATTGAAAGACTTGTTCAAACACAGATTGATGCCTCCCATCCCCTCGAAGAGTTTCTGATTCTTATGGTCTTAAGTTGGGTTCAAGAATTTGTGTTTCCAAAAAGTTTCCAGGTGATGCTGATTCTATGATGGGGAACACACTTTGAGAAAACCATTGTTTTGGGAAGTAGCCGCATATGCAAAAGTAGAGAACTGAAAACTTGGTGCATTCAGAAAACATTAAGTATGGGACTTGCCTGAGGTCCAGTGGTGAAGACTCCTCACTTCCACTGCCCAAGACAGGGGTTCTATCCCTGGTCAAAGAACTGAGAATCTTCATGCCTTGTGGTGCAGCCAAAAAAACCCCAAAAGACAATCTAAATTTCAATTTCAATGTAAGGATGTGGTGAGAGATAAGGCTGGAGAAGAAAAATAAGCATAGGGCAGATCAGAAGGACCTCACATGTCATAACATTTGGAACTTCTGAAAGCAAGGAGGAACAATCTGAAATATCTTTTAAGTGGGAGACATATAGATTTTCAGATTACTTGCCTGAATTTTTTTTTTTTTTGCCTGAAAATTTTAATGCTGTATCAGTTAGGAGCCGTGCTCAGCTGCCAGAAACAGAATCACTTCTAGTGGGCTAAACAAATCATGTAAAAGAAGGCAGGTATCCCAGAGCTACTCTGACACTCCCCAAAGTTGTTCTTTACCTTTCTGTAGTACCAGCTTCACCATGTGGCTTCAAACCTCAAGGACATATGGTAGTAGCTGGTGGAGTTAAAGACAGGAGTAAGAGGAAAGATAGGGCAGGGGGTTGTTTCTCATCTTAAAGAGATGTCTTAGAAATTTAATAGACACCGCTATCTAGGGAGAATGAGCATATTGGTAGCCTGAATAAATGGCACTAAGTAGATAACAGTAAATGCGACATGCTCGTTCAACAGAGTGTTCAATTCTGATGAAATTTTTGGTATATTTCTCTTTAGTGTTTAATTACATAGGTTTCATATAGCTGACATAAGAAATTGGGTATATCATATATGCATTTTTTTAGTTAACACCGTAACATTTTCTTATGTTATTTGAAACTTCAGTTTCTGGCTAAACATTTTAAAACAAAAAGCTTAAAAACTTTAAAAATTTTGTAATATAATTATAAGTTATAGTAAATTACAATTAAAATACAATTATATATTTTATAATTATGAGTTATAATAAATTATAATTATAAAATACATTTCTATATTTATTATATTTTATAATTATTGTCTTAGAAATAGTTCCTAGCAAAAATTCTGGGTGAAAGTTGATATTTTAAATGTTTCTGATGCATGTTTCTAAATAGTTTTTCAAAAGGTTATGTTTTTACTTTGCTACTAGTAATGTGTGAGTGAATTTCAGTAGATAACCTAGCCTTGGGTTTTTAAGAAATGCAAATGTGTATCTTTCCTCAGTATATGTTAGTATTATAGGCAAAGAGTG